ATTGAAAGTCATGATATTGTAATTTGTAGAAATTAGTGACCATACTAACTTTTTTCTTTGTTAAATGTGTTATTATTATATTTTGTTGACACTCTTGTTCCTCTCTTTTTTCTTAGCTGTATCCAGAGAGTGTCATTGGCAAATTTGAATGTCTCACTTCACCGTGCCTCATGATATTGAATATCAGTCATTAATGCAGTATTTTTTTTTAGATTGGTAAAACAAAAGTTTTTCTGAGGGCTGGTCAAATGGCAGAGCTTGATACCAGGAGGACCGAGGTGTTAGGACGTTCGGCCAGCATTATCCAGAGGAAAGTCCGTTCTTACATGGCTCAGAAAAGCTTCACATTGTTGCGTCGGTCAACGATTGTTCTCCAATCCATTTGTAGAGGTAATGTGTTTTGAAGGAAATAAGTACATCTCTAGTATTGTTTCCTTACCATGCTAATGAACGTTTTAATATATTGAATAATGATAAGTCACTCAATTACTTGAATATAATAAATAATGATGATTATAACAAAAAATAATAAAGTAAATTAACTAAAACAAAGAACACCACAAAAATAATAAAGTAAATTAACCTCACAAGAAGATTGTAGGCCCCCATATCTCTGTATAATAAATAATGATGATTATAGCAAATAATAATACCAATCATGTCTGTACGCATGGCACTTATAAACTGCGGATCTATGGTAATTTGAATTTGTTAAAAGATTAAGTTCCCATTTGTCTACAAACTAGGCTTGTTGCTACCTCTATTATTTTACTCAATTTCCATTGCATGTATAACTGTACTGAATTATCTTTGGGTCACAGATAAAAAAAATGTATTGTGAGTTATTGAATGTATATAATGATTAATTCTTTTTCTTTCACCTTTTTGCTGGCCAAATTTACAATTAAAGGTGTTGAAATATTTATTTTTTTAAATTGCGTTTATTTGATTGAATGTAATGTATATTTTGGTACGTCTTTTTTTGGTACGTCTTTTTTTTTGTGAATTATTTATTATTTATTTAGGAACTTCAAATACGTTTTTTATTTAAAAATAATAATTTAAATGTTACCACAATAATAACATCTAATCACATTATACGGTCGACACATTATATGGTCAATTGTCAGTAATCAAAAGTTTAAAATGTTTTTTGTAATTTTGAAGTGATTAGTGTTGATTATTTAATAATTAAATGAAAGATTAAATACATCAAAAGTAACGGTTTTTTTTTTTT